CTCGAGTCCCGGCTCGCGGACCTTTCCCGATCCCACCCCCCTCTCTCTCACCCACTTCACTTCCTGTCAACCTATACTGTCCTATCAAAATAAAGGCATAAAACGCCATAAATAAACCTTTAAAAAAAACAAAAACAATCTATTTTAGAATATTTCCATGTAATATTTTCAAGACAATTAATTTCATTCTCGTTGTCTTTATTTAAATAAAAAAAGAATCATATTTATTTCTTTTATTTTAATTTGGGGATGAAATATGATCCTGACATGTTCTTGAAGGTTCTGTGAGATTTTCTCAACTGGAAGCACTCCGAAGAGTTTTCTTGAAACTGTAAAGCCTGATGTATGAAATAATTGTCAGAAAAATAGTTTTTAATCAAACCTTTAGACTGAAACGAAAACAAGAACTTTACATGTGTGTTTTTGTTAAGTATCATATTCGATACATCAGGTTTTTATGGCTCATATAGTATGATATAGTGAGAATATGGAGCTCAAACTAATTGTCTTGAAAAATAATGACAAGAATTTTGAAAATCTTAATGGTCCTAAAATAGCCTTAATTTTTAATGCAAAATATAATTTCACTTTTTCCTTTCGGTTTTGGGCTGTAATGTGACCTGGGCCAAAAAATGGACGTTATTTTCTTTATGCAAAATTTAATTACATTTTTATTCTGTTGAATTTGAAACCTATTTAATTAAATTAAATTAAATTAAATTAAATTAAATTAAATTAAATTAAATTAAATTAAATTAATACATGTTCTCTGGCTACAGACACTACTACTGAATGTGAGTATTTAATCTGTTAATTTAATTGAATATATAATTTAAATTAAAAAAATTAATAAAACATGTTTTAATTTTAAAAATGCATTTAAATAACTAAATTAATAATTATTTATGTAATTAAAATGATAGAAAATGAAACATTCAACAAACAAAAAAACTAACATAAACATACATTTTCTGAATGTTGCAGAAATGCAACAGTGGGCCTTAAATGTTCTTATATTTACACAACAGTAAATCACTGAAAATATTATAAAATTACTTTTAATGTAGCCTAAGGTTTTATCCTTCTAACATGCTGGGAAGGTTCCTAAGAAAGTCAAAGCACATGCAATTGTATAATTCATTTTAAAAGCAGTAAAATTTTATAACCTTTAAATTTTAAACCCATAATGCAATAATCTTCAATATCAATATTTCAGTCTCTGAAGGTTCAATAAATACAGTATGCCCGGATATTAGTAAGTACTTGAATACCAACCAGACATGATTAAAGTATTCGTCTGTGGTTGAAATATTACAGATGCACTAATCACAGAAGAGAAGAAGATTTGTAGTCAAACCTGGAGATCCAAAACATAAAGAGGGACAAACAAAAAGAGCATATAACCAGCGTTTCTCACCTTCACAAACTTCTCAGAGGGAGCGAAGCAGCCGACACACAGAGACATGAGGATCCAGCCGCGAGCGTGACTGCTTTTAGAGGGATTCTGGGTCAGCTGCTTACAGATCTGACAGTAGATCTCATCTCTGAGAGAAACAACAGGAAGAAAAATGCTCAGGGCTGTGATCAATATATGCTTTGCTGTGTATTATACTCATAATATTATATTTCCGTATCCGCAATCTGACCTCAGGCCTGGCCGAAGGATGCCGTTGCCGATGATGAAGTGCAGCTTCTCCAGGTTGGATGTGGGTCGGTCCTCCAGCATGCTGTTTCCATGGACTGTGTATTCACCATCATTCAGACGCTTGGCCACCTACAGAACAACAGCAATAACAAACAAAGAGAGAAAAATACTCAGGATTGAAATGATAAAAAAGACATTAGATAAAGCAGGGGTTTCCAAACCTTTTTTTTTTTTAGGTGTAAAATATTTATTTGAAGATTTTAGGTTAATATTTCAGTAATTTAATGACAATCATATGTTCACTGTTCTCTGATGTTAAAAAATAATAAATAAAATAAAATAAAATAATTTATATTATATTAAATTAAACATTTTGGTCATGGAAAAATGGTAAAATATTTACTTGAAGTACCACAGAGATTTTAGGCCAATATTTTATTATTTAAAAATACATTTAAATGATCATTGTTCTCTGAATAAAATAAAATAAAATAAAATAAAATTAAATAAAATTAAATAAAATTAAATAAAATTAAATAAAATTAAATAAAATTAAATAAAATTAAATAAAATTAAATAAAATTAAATAAAATTAAATAAAATCAAATAAAATCAAATCAAATTAAATCAAATTAAATTAAATTAAATTAAATTAAATTAAAAACGTTACAAATCAGCATGTTAAAAAGTTAAGTTTGATAGCTATAGGAATAGCAAAGGTTCTGAATCAGTATATTTTGTTTCTGAAGAAGCGGAGTGTTTTTTTTTTCACATCTGGTTGGCACAAGAAGAGTTTATGGCTCCTAATAACTTCCTTTCAATTTTACAAAATTGTTTCAAAAAGGTGGTTTTTGTAGCAATGCCTTTGAAGAACCATTTTGGGTTCCTCAAAGAACCTTCCAGTTAAAAGTTCTTAAAAGAACCATTATTTCATAGTATGAAGAACATTTTTAATAAAAATTTACCTTTTTTCACTATAAAGAACCTTTAGTGCAATGGAAAGAGGTTCTTAAAGGTTCTTCATGGAACCATCAATGCCAATTAAAATAAATATATATTTTTCAGAGTGTTGCAGACAATGAAATGAATATCTGCAGGGGACAGAGACTCATACCTGTGAAATCAATGTCTTGAAGGGGTCACTGAGTTCAAAAACCAAAAGCGAGCTCCCAGAAATGAGGCAATAAGGAAGTGCACCGTGATGAAATCACCATGGTAACCGCATCACTCACCTCCTCTGTAATCTTGGACTTCTTCTTCAGGGTGAGCGACACCAGCTTGTGACGCACACTGCTCTTCTTGTGACTTTCAGTGTGAGAGTTCTGTAAGAGATGGGCACAAATTGCCTCATGGATCATGAAAACATGCATTAATGCCGTCACATTTGGCCAAATGTATTTGCAAACGTGTCTTTCACCTCTCCTTCTCCCTGCAGAGCCTGCAGCTCTCTCTTGTAGGTCTTCTTGCCGAGCGTCTCGTAGATCTTGGTCATGACCGGGATCTTCTCGCTGCCGTCGCTGATGGCCGTGTGGTATTTGGGTTCTGGAAGGTCACCCATGAAGCGGAGAATCGTGATCCACACGGCCAGAGCCGCCTGCACGACCAGCAAATATTAGACAAACCTTTAGATACTAACAACCAAATGTCATTACTATCATATCATATTCAAGTAACTTAAGTCTCATACAAGTCATTTTCAATTTAATTAAAGTATGCAATATTTAGTTTTTATTTAGACAATATCTTTTAGAAAATATATTTTTTTACATCTGTATAAGTTCTTATACTGCATATGGCATTGGTGTGTGTGTTTAATTTAAAAAATATATATTTCTTAAAATAATTTTTTATCAGTTTACCTTTTATTGTGACAGTATAAAAAATGTATGTCTTTTTATATAGTATTTATATACTATACACTATATTTTATATAGTATAGTATTTATATTTTAATAAAGATATAAATATATTTAGTAAATATACTGTATATATATAAATATATATATAAATGTGTGTGTAAAATATTCAAATATTCAATATTTAACTATTTACCTTTTATTTTGACAGTATTTATTACAAATTTATATAAGTGTAAGATTTTATATAGAGTATTTATATATTTTTGATAAATATAAACTTATTAAATATAAATAAAAAATGTAGTTAAAGTTTTATTAATTTTTTTGTGTGTTTTAGTCATTTTTATTAGTTTTTTAAAAATGTCTATATAGTCCTTATTTTTATTTCAATTTTATTTTTAGTTATTGTAGTACTTAAATTAAAACAAAATGAGAAAAGATGCTTTGGCAACTAGCTGAAGTTTAAGACTTTTATATTTTATTTTAATTTTATTTAATGTTTATTTCTAGTAATGAAAATGGTTCTTTTTAGTTTTAATTTTAGTTAGCTTTTTAATTTTAGTTAACAATAATAACCCCGACACACACATGTACTTAGATAAATTTTTTATATTTATTAAAAAATTATACATTGAATACCTTTCACACACAAACATTGGGTAAAATAATATTTTGTTTTCTATTTTACCTTTTAAACTATTTTAACTGTTAAATCCACATATGTTGTGCTGAATAAACTGAATTAAATAGATTTATAATCAGCATTCCTCCCCAGACAGCAACATAGTGTTGGCCCAGATCGGCCCACATCTGGCCCGTGTGAAATCCACATGGGCCAGATGTAGGCCGGATCTGGGCCGAAACTGGTTGCTCTCTGGGTCTCAACTCATCTTAGATGTTTTTACTGAGCTTGTCACAGTGCATTATTATGGGATCGCCTTCTCTACGAAGGACACATGCAATGCTGCCTTAAAAGAGCAGGGATCTTAGAAGACAGCATCGCTTCAGAGCTAAATAAACACTTCCTCAAATCTAAAGTATGTTTGAGAGTCAAAGGTCACATACCAGCTGATCTCCCTCGTCTTCGTGAAACAGTAAGGGCTGTTTGAGCGGGCGGCGCACATAAGTGTGTGTGGTCGTGCCCTGGAAATACGTGGCTGAAAACTTGGCAAATTTGTACTCCGACAAATCTTCCACATCATCCTCTGGGAGAGGAAGAGCTTCATCCAGGTCTTCCTCCTCGAGCTCCCTGTGCGTTCTCTCCAGGTCCTGAGGAAAACAAAATCACACACTGGAGCTCAGTTAATCAGCCCATTAATGAGATTCAGATGCACATCCTCACCTCAAACCCAGCCGGCGCTTGACCTTCCTGCCCAGGGAACGAGTTTGTGGTTCCCAAGAAACCGAACATCTTGTCCACCATATCAGAGTCGTTGACGGGCTCATGTCGCGCTTTCTCCATCTGGTCCAGCATCTCCTTTTTCCTTCGCGCCTCCGCTCGCTCCTTCTTCTCGCGCTCAGCGTCCTCTCGCGCCAGCTGTGCCAGTCGTTCCTGATGCTTCTTTTCGGCTTCTTCTTTGGCCTTCCTGGCGCTCATCTGATTCCTGAGCTTCTGCTCCTCCGCTAGTCGCATCTTCTCTGCATCCAAACGCCGCCGGTACTGAGACGGATGGAAGAAGAGAGGGATGCGTTTGTCGTAAACCATCCAACTTTTTCCTACACCCCATGATGCGAATTATGGGAGTAACTTACATTAAACTGCAAACAATCAGTGAAAGCTTTGCTCTATGAATGCAATAATAAGCAAGCTGACATTATTCTACTCACCCTTCAACCTTCGAAGGAAATTTAGAAGTGTAAAAGCATTAACAAATTAACTTCAACAGACCACGAATAACCAGATTAAATAACCTGATTATAACCTGATTATAACCTGAATAACCGAAACGCTTGATTATTTCCTAAGCAATATTACAGACGTGTTAAATATCACTATAGCAATATATGTAAATGTTATGTAAGACTGGGATAATGTACATCCAGCCGGTTGTTATCTCAGAATAGCGTCGGGGTCCTGATCACCCTGTCGGGGTTTATTCGGAGATAACAACCGGCTGGATGTACATTATCCCTTACATATGTTACATATGTAACCCCCTGGTGCTGCTTGTGTGTGTTTTTTATTTCAATTAAAGGCATAGTAAGTGATTTCTGGTAGCCAATGTTGATATTTGAAATCACCAAAACAAACACGCCC